CTCACACACAGGCACATAATCACCATTTTATTTATTTATTTATTTTTTTTATTTTTTGTGGCACTTGGTTACTACTGAGCCCGCGAGGGGACATGGGGGATTTTTTTTTCTTTTTGCGTTCCCACGCAAAAGTATTGCATTACGTTGAAATACCTTTTGTGTTCCCTCGCAAAAGTCTTTTATCACTGTTGTGTCTGCCGTTTTATTAACAAACTCACATGTTCACCATTAGCATCAATGTCAATTTCACGAACTTGTGGCGACACAACCTGTTTTGATAACAGTATATTTCAAAATAAAAGTCTGATTTAATTCAGTTCATATATAAGTCAAACTTTTGCGTTGGAACGCAAAACAATATTGCGAGGTAACTATTATGTGGGAACGCAAAAGAAAAAAATCTCCCATGTCCCCTCGCGGGCTCCGTAGTTACAAACACCACAAAGAAAGTAAAAAAATATATAGGTTTTCTATACATTTAGTTGGTAACTTGTCTTTTTGTCTGTTTTAAGGTCAATCAAATGCTTAAAAAAAGGCATTTCACTTATAATTAAACTAATGTAATTGCTAAACCTTATTTTAAATGACCACCATTTATGATCACAATCATGATCATGTTCTTAGAATAATACATCTCCCTATGTATTGCGCCAAAGGGAAGACAAGAAAGGCTACAAGCACATTTAAAACAACATATATGCATTAGTAGCTAATGGTACTTTTATGATTYAATCCTTACCTGGGTCAAAGAAGACAATAGCCTTCAGAGCTGCGTACTCATTGTCGTCTATCTGAATATCTTGGAAGGGCTGAACCAGCTCATCTAAGACTCTGTTGGCTACCCTGAAAATCTCAGGTTCAGGGCAGTTCCTGTGTATCACRCAGCCATTCCCTGCAGAAACAGTGCACATAGTTAGAGATGGYGTGGAGAAGAGTTATGTGAAAGACAAAGGTATGTGGGAAGGTGGGGCACTGGCATGTATTTGCTGGGATTGTTGCAGCCTTGAGAGGTTCTGTTTAAATAGCTTCAGTCAAAGCAAACAGTTTTTAAGCGACAGCTTTGCTTACTGTATGCTGTTGTTACGTATTAATGTAATTTACAAAAAACACATTTGAAGTTGCAACAAAAAAGTAAGAAAGAAAACCAAAAAAAAAAGAAAAGTTTTGGTTAATCATTCTCAGCTTTCACACATTAGGATTGACACGTGATTACACCACATGGAAGTAAGATGGCAAATCACTGGGTAGTTTCTACCTAAAAGCAGGAAGTCCTTGAATGGCATTGACCTTCTGGCAACTGCAAGCAAAAGGTGTTCACCTGCATGAGCCCGGAGCAAGCTCACCTGGGGACATACACACACAAATACACAATCAACCCAAGAGGACAAACAGTGCTGTAATGATTTTATTTTTGTCCTGACACATACAGTGTCACAGCAAAGTGGAAACCATAGCTAGTCTCAAGTAACATAACGTAATGTAGAAACTTCGCTCAAGTATGTAGCTTCCCAAGTGCTTTTTGCAGAAAAATTATTTATTGAGGTTACAACTAAAACATCCTGTGCCTTTTACCAACATTCCCAAAACCTTTTGCGCCCCATCAAATTACAAATATAAAGAGTCACAATAATTGGAAATTAAATTCATTGCAAGTTTACTTTTCAGCTATGATTAAATGCAAGCAGAACCAATRATTTTACTCATTGACCTATTATGCATATGCTACCTGATCATCCAGTGGCAACTCTCCAAAAGCCGGAATGTATTTGGCCCATTCAACCAATACCAACAGCTGCTGCCTCATAGAATCACATATATCCCCTACAGTGGCCGATTTTAGCTCTGAGATGTCTGCAAGTCCTGCCGGAGTGGTGATCTGCTGGGGGGGACAAACTGATTAAATGTGATGTTTCAAGGACTGAAGCTGATATAAATTTACACACAAACATATACTAGGTCATCAGTACATGAATGTAAAAAGAAAATAGTAAAAATATTGTTACCTGTTGGGATAATGATTCAGCCTGCGCYAAAACAGTAATGGGTGGAAGGTCTTGGGAGTCAGGGCAAATTCTTCGGGAGCTGATCCGATCTCTTTCGTTCTGTACAGCTAAGAAAAAATAAATAAATAAAATAATACATATATGTGTGTGTGTGTATGTGTGTGCGCTTGTTATATGTACTCTGTGTGTGTTTGTGAAACAAGTGTAAAATACAAAAATTTATGATACGATACATTGTGATGTGCTGTGTTTTGTTGTGATGGGATGCATTACAAAGTGTTACCTTATGTTAGGATATGATACAATATGATACGATAAGTTATGATACAATTTGATTTATGTTCTGTTACAATACGTTACGCTATGTTATGCTGTACAATTTGATACGA